CAAAAAATTTTTTTCGCTTAACGAAGTAAGCTTATTTTTTTGAGTATTTCTGCGCAAAAATTTTTTTATTTGCTCAAATCTTCAATTTTCTATGCCCAGTCAAAATACGGAAAATCGGCCGCCATCTTGCCCCACGACCGAGTTTAAAGAAGAATGGCTCTAGCGGGTAATGTGACGTCAAATCGAGAACACGAAAGTCTGCTTTTCACACATTTTCACTTGTTTGGGAAGGTTGTAGTCGATAATTGTCCGAAAATATGCCGACTAAGTGTGTTGTAGAAGGATGTAGCAACGTGCGAAATTTGCAAGAGGGTATCGCGCTCCATACAATCTTCATACAACACACCTAGTCGGCATATTTCGGACGATATCGACGACAATCTTCCCAAACAAGTGAAAATGTGTGAGATGCAGACTTTCGTGTTCTCGATTTGACGTCACATTACCCGCTAGAGCCATTCTTCTTTAAACTCGGTCGTGGGGCAAGATGGCGGCCGATTTTCCGTATTTTGACTGGGCATAGAAAATTGAAGATTTGAGCAAATAAAAAAATTTTTGCGCAGAAATACTCAAAAAAATAAGCTTACTTCGTTAAGCGAAAAAAATTTTTTGAGTGTAGGTGCACTTTAAACCAGCGAGCGGAACAAAATTCCGCGACACCTGTGGTGTTTCTGGAGTGGCGGGCCCATCTAGCCCAGTTGTCGACGAGCACCGCAGGTTGTTCAATCGACAACTGGTAATTTAAGGCTTCTTATTTTTCCTATTAGAGGTTCGATGCGCCGCAATGCCCTACATCCACGCTTCTATCACACTCGCTAACACTCTAAACCACACTTGAGCGGGTCGTGTACCACACTCGAGAGGGTCGTGCAGTGAGCGATGTACGCCAATAAAAATGTCTCTGCACGGGCTAGATCTCTGGTGTCGAGTTGTTATGCTCTTTAAAATGTAGACCTTATTTACATTACTTTAAACAAAAATGAAAACTTTTAGCCGACAGGTAGCTTGTTTTGGCAAGCTGTAAACACTTAATGGATCTTAAAGGCTTTCAAGTTTTCTCTTCTCAGAGGAACCTACCTGACTGGCATATCAATCAATTTTCCCATGCTATGCGTGTTTTCCTTTTTTATTACCGTATACAAAAATGTCCTTCGCCCTTTGAGAGCGAATTTGCTCTTTCATTCGCGGTAACTTTACCCGTGCCGATTCATTTCATTTGTACTTGATAAACGTATTCCGTACCATTAACTTCTCATAAAATTCAGAAATGTATTCTGCTTTTTTTGAGTCCTGCAAGGAAGGCATTAGCATAGGCATTTCCTCTAATAACATTTTTGCCACTTACAGAGAGTCCATCCTTACGCGAACAGGCGGCATAACCGTGTAAGCAGTTCCTCCCACAGAGCACAGAGAATCCCAGAAAATAAAGGTAACTCATGATCACAGATTTTTTCTACATACAAAGGGCCTTTTGCAAGACCCTTTTGACCGGAACACTGGCCCCTGCGCCTACAAGCCAGGTATTCTGAGCTTGTTAACTTGAACTTTTCTTTAAGCCGGAAAAAGAACTAAGCGACACCATCCTATATTTAACACTTTGAAAAGGTTTTAAGAAGTCTTAGAAATGAAGGAGCATTGATAAATTTTCCTCACTCCTTTTTGTCATTTAGTGGGACTGACTTTGTGCATTTTTAATTCGGTGCGCTCTTGTCTGTCACTAGTCCTTCTAATAAACCCGAAACATTATAAATACCATTAAATCATACATAAGTTAATTTGCATGCAGTATTGACCTTCTCTCTGAGGGAGAAATTACTGCTCAACGCCATTAGGATGACTTTTTCGATAGGATATCATTTAAGAGTTTACAACTTAATGCAATTACAACTTCTTCAAACAACGCTATAATTTTTAACAGAAAAAACCATTACCAGAACTTTTGTTTGTATTGCTGGGCGTGACCAGCTCACCCTTCCAACAAACCGCGAGAAACTTTTATTAAAAGAAAATGGGCTTGGAGAGAAAAAGGTGCAGATCCCCACGAATGCATCGAAGGAAGAGGTGAAGCAAGTTTTGTACAAGTGAGTTACATAACTCTCAAACCCCTGCCAGTTACGATCTCAATTTCCTTTTTTTCGTAGTCTTTCAGCTCCATGCGTTAATAAACCTATTTCTTGTGTTTGTATTTCCAGGGCCTTTCGTCCATTACAAAATTGTGGCGGATTCGAAATGCTGTTGTGCGCAGACAACTCGCGTACCAAGTTACAAGTGGTTAAGTATGGGTCTTGCAATACCGACGACCTGAGGTGTTTGGGCATGGGCCGAGTTTATATTCGGCCCATAAAAGTAGATATCACTTTGGGGCCGGGGGACATAGAGGATGACGATGAACATGCGGAGGAGTGCCTGCTTTGTAGGGAGTCTATCCCACTGCGTGGAATGCGAGTCCATATGGAAACGTGCCGGGTTTGTGTTTTGGCTAGTTTTTGCTGGTGACGTTTTTGCGGCTACTCCTGGGTAAAATGTCGAGTCTTCTGCTGAGACTAGAATTTTGTTTTGGAATAATTTGTTTTTAGGGTGAAACAAGGCCTGGAGAAACATCCGGCGATGATCTCCCGCCAGCATTTGGCGAGAGGAGGTAAGTAGAAGTGGTCACCCCACTTGCTAAGTGGTTATCGTTTCCGCGCTTTTAGAAAGTACTAAAAATTTTTTTTTTTGGTATTCCATGTAGTTGGAAATTCCTTTTGTAAAAATTGTTTGGTTTTCATTTCCCCTACAATATCAGTGACTTTATACTTTATATTGATATCTAATTTGGAGCATTGTAAGGCGGTCTTTATAAATCAATATAATCAATATCTCAGGGGGGAAGAACGAGATAACCCAGCAGAACTGCCAGATCAGCCTCCTGGTGGCATTGAGCAGAATTCACCGGAACTGCCAGAACAGCCTCCTCGTGCTACTGAAGAGGCTTCAACTAGTCATGGCGAGGCAGCCGCCAAGGAAGAGTGAGTTTCTTAAACATGTTAAAATGACCCGTGGAGGTTGATTATTTAGGGGCCGCTGAAGAGTTTCTGAAGTGCGTCTAAAGGAATGAAACGCAACCGTGTGTATATCCATTCTACCCTGCTGTTGCCGTCATACTCTAATTTACAGTCGATTGTAATGTCATGAAACTTCTACCATCCCACTAAAAGCCCCCTCAAATACTAATTTCTGCTATCTATCTAGGGAACCTGTCCCGTACGAGGAGCATCTGAGCAATGCAATAGAGGAAACATTAAAAGCTATGTAAGTGCAAATTGATAGAATTATGCTTAGTACATTCTGCTTGATTGTCTTTTCCGTACTCTACAGTGTAGTCGTTGTTCGTGTATATGAACTTTTGTTGTGATGTCGTTTTAAGGGAAGGAAGGGGGAAACTAGGCGTCTGTCCAATGATATCATGTGCTGAGCACAACCTTTTATGTGCAGAGATCCGTTAGTTGATATTACCACCCTTACTTTGGCACTCAACTATTCGTGTAGGAAGCTAATACAATCGGGCCAACTGCTCGTTAGTAGGCCGCTTTAGTGCAGGTGTTACCGGCATACTTTTGGGTATTATTCAAATTTTACGGGCGTTACGCATCTTTGATCATTTCATTTTATTTCAGGGCTACCTGTGACGAGCCTGTTACCGTCTTAGGGGAGTTCAGGCGAAGGCTACAACGAGGGCGCATACTTGATCTTCAAAACGACTAGGAAGTGTGAGGGAAAGACCACTGAGATATTTGTCTCTCGTTACCGCCTCTTCGATGACGCAATGGAAGAGATATTGAGGGAAGATCCGCCAGCGATTGATTGTAGTGTTCCTTTAGAAGTGATTTTCACCGGCGAGGGCGCTCAAGATTATGGTGGTCCAAGGCAGGAATTTTTGGGCATGGTGATGCGCGAAATACGTGACAAGCTCTTCAAGGAAAAAGGAGGAGGCTACATTATTTTTGAGAAAAAAGAAGCATTGGACAGGAAACAGTATTATGGAGCTGCCCTCGTTTTTGGTAAACATGCAATGCCTACGGAGACTCACCAATGTCATTTTCACTTAGCAAAGAAAAAGTGAAATTTACCTTTTTATTGCAGGTTTCAGTTTGTTGCAAGGTGGTCCTCTGCCTAATTTCCTTGCTGATCACCAGCTTCAGCGTATCTTCACAAAAAATGATTTGACCAATCTGGGGGAAGCAGAAACCCAATTTCGGTTAGGACTCGAGAGATTCGGACTTGTTGAGGTAAGCTTTCACAGTGACCGGCTAAAACCGATGGTCTAGTCTTCACCCTTTACTAAGCGAGAGAACAAAATTTAATCAGTTTGACTAGAGTGGAACCTTGCAATACCGACTCTCGCTAAATACTGAAAGTTTCTCTTCAAGCGCTTCCTACGAAAAAACCCACCTTAATTTCTTTCACAGATGATGGGCTGTTGTCTAATCCCCTTGGGATCTCTGATTTAAGGAGCTGGTCTAAAAATTGTTGGAGGAGAATTGGCTCTTCCCTTTGATCCTCTCTTGCCCACACAAAAGATTTGTATTACCTTTGTATCTTATAATTTTACAGATTCCATACTTTCCGAGAAAATAAAGCTTGTTTTCTTCTTAATCCTTTAGCTCCTTCATAGGAAACCGAGTCTTTTATTCCTCTTCCGAAAGACAGCAGTGCTACATATGACGTACCCCAAACTGGTAAAACTGCTGGACCTTATTTTTTCCGACGAAGCAACTAATCGAAGGCAGCGGGAAGAACAAACATACGGACTCTTCCTGAATTACTTGAAAGAGGTGTCAGGTAACTGTCGTTCTCTTTTCTCTGGTCTAAGAAACATCACCACCAGCTAGACAGCTGTAACTTTGCTTTATGCCAATTGAAATTTTCCACAGAGTGCGTAAAAAAGAATTGGGATTTTGAGCGTTATAATTGCACTGCTAATTTTTGTTTCTCTCTTTTTAGCTGGAAGAAGGGTAGACGGCAATATATCTCTCCATAGCATTTTGAAGTTCGTCACTGGATGCGAGAACGAGCCTGTTCTGGGTTTCCAAATGAAGCCCACTATTTGTTTTGATATGAACATGCCATCTTGCCTTCCTATGAGCAACACTTGCATTAGTAGGCTGACTTTGCCCATAGGTGAGAATGTATCAATGACCAAGGAAGAAGTGTTCTCTTTCTTTGACTACGCTTTCGCAAATGAATACTTTGGCCGTATTTAAGTAAAACTACTGATCTATGATTGACTCTCTTTGACAAAGTGGTTTTTTATTCAAAAGTTGAATTTGGCTTCTGTGCTCTAAATCAAGCGACGAATTACAGCAGCACTGTCAAAGCGAAAAGTCGTGTTTATTACACAAACTTTAGAGCAAATTTCAAAAGTCTACTTAAAAAAAGTGCTATTTTAGGCTGTACAACGGCCACAGGCTCAGTTGGTACAATTCATATTAGCAATGTTTGTATCCACTGCGAAGGATCGTGCATCATACGTATTTAATACCGCTGTTCAAAATATATATGAACTTCATATATTCATTTTATCTGATTTATCATCACGGGTTTATTACGAATCAACTTAACGGCCTGCTCCCAGTTGGCTTGTTAGCTAAATTGGTAGAGCGCTGCACTAGTATCGCAGAGGTCAGTGGTTCGAATCCCGTACAGGCCTGTTTTTAATTTTCAGGTCTGATTTTCGCTATTGCATAAATAGCGCTCTCTACTGCGAAGGATCGTGCATCATACGTAAAGCTAACAGTGTTCTTGGCTTTGTTAGACGGATTGTTGGACCAAAAAACCCGGACTTGTTCTTTAAATTGTACAAAAGTCTTGAAAGGCCAATCCTGGAACACAGTTCCCAGTACGGTCGCCGCATCTAAAGAAAGGACGCTCATAAACCCGGACTTGTTCTTTAAATTGTACAAAAGTCTTGAAAGGCCAATCCTGGAACACAGTTCCCAGTACGGTCGCCGCATCTAAAGAAAGACATTGCTACTCTAGAAAAAGTCCAAAGACGAGCTTCCAGATTTGCGCTTGGTATAACTGCAAATGATATGTCGTATGAAGATCGATTGAAACGACTTAAATGGCCATCATTAGCAAAAAGGAGAACTTTATCATCACTCACTGAATGCTACAAGACAATAAATGAACCGAATTGTCTAAATCCATACGAATTCCTTAGCTTTGCGGATAAATGCAGACCGCTGAGATCCAACCATCGCTTCAAGCTTAAGACGAAATCTGCTAAGTTAAATTGCTATAAACATTCTTTCTTTCTTCGCATTGTTAATTTATGGAACAATTTAAGACAAGAGACCGCTGAAGCAAAAGACTTAAAGAAATTTTAGAAATAATCTAGTTTATGAATTTTCTTAAAACACGATTTAGACTAATTACCATTTTAAACTTTTATTTTATAAGTATACCCAATTGCATTTACATAGCTTTTGAATTTATAGATAAGTAATTAGGATTTTTTAATATTGCTACATATGTTAAGGAGGTGGACTAGAAAGGGATAACCTCTTCTACCTCCTTTGACAATCGTTGATATATTTTTTGTTGTTAATGTATTGTTTGTTAGTTTTGTTTGCTTTCTGTGTGTGATTAATTGTGAATAAACTACTATTATTATTATTATATTCATCTTTTGTCCCTATTTGTACTCTTCTTGAAAGCAACCTTCAGCAAGTAAAATGTATACGCGCTCTATTTGATGTTTTGCCCAGGCGGCTACTCCGTTAAACGGTTAATTTATTAAGCGGTTAAACTAAAACATAAATTTACAAACTCAAAAGTGAACTTTTCGAATAACACTTACATTTGTTGCTGGGTTACTTTAACTGTTTTGGATGAGACTTCAACCGTAATTAAGAGCTACCACCTTCCCGAGCGAAACAAAACTAATTGGAAAAGATAAATTTCAATTTTAAATACTACTACAAAAAAATTTTACAACATCTTTATACTGACACTTTCCACACGAGCGTTGAAAATTGTAGCAATGTCAAAGGAAAACGAAAGAAAACTAAAGCGCTAATAAAGTGGTGTTTGGATCTTAAACGATGACATATGTCATATGATTGTTCTTTGTGCAATTTGTTAAGTATCGAGGCAAGCTTTAACAAACATTACAGAGGACTTTTCTTCTATCAATAGAACAATGAGGTAGTGAGTTGGCTTCCTGAAATTTTCTTGCAGTCCCCGTCTGAAAGAGAAAATTAAGATCACGACTAATACAAAAGAGCTCGTCAAATCAACAGGTGAACAAAAAACAAAATAATGTACATCCTGGAAAATCTTTGATCAGACCCTTCGACGCTCCTCAACTTTAGAATAACGATCGAATAAAACAAGTCCAAGACGTCTAAAAATGTTCTGTAAAGCAGGCGTTTGCTCTGGCAAGGAAATGTTCAGGATTTCCGGTATCTTTGATTCTTACCGCAAAGCTGAAGATAAATTCCCCGTGGGGCATATCACAGCGGGTCTCTCAAGATTTTTGAGCTTCAAACAATAACTTCCATGGCCTCACTAGACACAAAACTCTAATCATGCAAACCAATTTTATTTAAAATATTTTCATTGACTAACATTTCTTAAGTGCAAATTTAAGATTTCAAACTTTATTAAAATTCACAATGAGTAATTTAAACAAGGATGCTAATTGTGACATCCTTCCATTCTCTTCACAGGCTTTCCTGGTGAAACAAAAACCGTTGGGGGAAATTTAAGAATTTTAATACATGTACGAGACATTTTGTTCAGTTATTTGCCATTGAACTTTGATATTAATTCCAAACAGAAGGTCAAAAACTCTTACAGCTAACTATGATGCGAAACTTAATGTATATCTCAAAGTAATTCGATAAGGATAGAACAATTCTTCATCATATATTTCGCTTAGCTTAACTTTACTGGTGACTGTAAAAATGAACGAAACAAATGGTTAGTTTGATTTGACCTTTTGCAATGTAAACTTACCACGCACGTGTAACGATCGCAAAGAGCTTGACTGTGGGACTTGAGTAACTTGTTCAGCAGAACTGGATATGTAGTAGTTTTCACCTTGTTTTGTCCAGCTTGACTCTTGGGCCTTGTGCCGCTAACTGATAATCTTGAGCATTGCTATATATTGTATCTTTACACGATACGCATTCTCTTCTGTAAAGAATGTATGGGGAGTGAAAACCAATTAAGAGTGATGCAGCTCAGTGGTTTCATCTGACTGATTTTACTAAAAAGTTTAACTTACTCAAAGAAATAAGATAACTGAAAGTCCCAGAAGAGTGTTAATAGTAATATAACTATGAAAAATGTGATAAATAAAGTTGTGATTCAGTTCATGTTGATGCGAGATACGTATTTATCCACTCATTTCAATTATCGATTTTTTTAAAGAAGATTCTGGCTTCAATGATGGGGAAAGTAGTTACTTGGGGCAATATTATCGTACACGACATAAACTCTTTTCAGACTTGAGGTTTTGGGCTGAAATGTCCTTTTTTGTGTCTGGATTTGAGTTGACTGGCTGAGGCTAGTGTTGGGGCTAACTGTGGTTAAAGCTATCCAAGCATAATTCCCTACATACTCCGTTACACTCACGTTTGTTGGCGACTATTTGGTGTTTATGGGGTAAGCCTAAAGGGAAATTGTGGTGTTACCTTGGTGGGGGTATTACAAAATAATTTGGTTTTATCAACTGTTGTGAATTGACCACCGTTGACAGCTTCTAAAGGTAAATATGTGAGGGTTAGCCCCTCGTCAGAGGGCTACGTGACCAGTCCACATCATCCACTCACTTAGTAAAACCAAATGATTCAGATTTAATTTACATTTTCAAAACTGGAATGAAAGGCCGTTATTTGATAGCCATGCGTGACAATAATGCGTCATCTCCCTCAACTAGGTAAAATATTTTTTGAGCTTTCAAAGATTAAAAGGCAAAATTTCAGCTGCTCCTGGGCGGATTGCGATCCGTCTTTTGCAAACGATTATACTGGGGTTCTGAGAAAAAAGTCCACACAATGCTTTCGCGAGGAAACCAATCTCGATGTTAATGCGAACAGTAAAAGCAATTGTCTTGAAGCCTTCGTGAAAAAAAATTTTGTTAGATCTCTGTATTTTTCTTATGGCTAACTGGACTAACTGACAACCTCAAGAATTGCGATACAATGTGTTTGCATTCAATATGCTGTCTCGTCTTTATACAATGTGCGAGGAGAGGAAATTTATGTAAGACTGACGAGGGTTTCATCTGAGGGGTTTTACAACAGAGTTTAATTAACTCGAATGACTCAGAAAACGCAAAACCCGAGAAAAGGGTTAATACTGCGTAATACGATCGTGAACAACATAAAAAGTGATTATGTCGTGATTCATCAGTCCATATTGATGTATGAGAAATGTGTTTACTATATTTTCAGCAATTGGTTATTCCAAATACCCTTCTTGCTTCAGTGATTCGTAAGGAAGCTATTTAGGGCTACATTGTTGTACAAGACAAAACTTGCTGTCACACCTCAGGGTTCAGGCTGATGTATATCCTTTCCCTGGATGTGATTGGTTGAGGGTAGAAAGCCCTACACACTCTGTTGCACTCACTTTTGTTTGGCAAGTCATGATTTGCAATTTTCCTTTGCAAATTTGGAATGAAGTCTATTTTTGAACAGCTATGCGTGTCATGGATCCAAAAAAAAAAAATAAAAATAAATAAATAAATAAAAAAAATAATAAAAGCAATTCTCGCATAAAAATAGATTAAATATTAGAAAAAAAGTTTTAGCAGCTCTTGTTTGGTTTGCGATCCGTCTTTCGCTTGCCAATGTGAATGGATTTTGAGAAAAAAGGCTACGTACGCTTTCACGTGAGAATCAATCTTAACATCGTTAGAAATACGTAGCCGAATGACTTGAAGCCTTCCTTTTTACTTTCTTTAGACAAAATATTTGCTCGCAAAGAGAATTTTTGTGCCTTTTCTCTTTGACCCGGGTTTATTTGACAATCAAGGGGGGACTGGGTTTGAGTCAGGGGTCAATGGTCATTATGCTTGATCCCCTCTAAGGTTTTTTACAAGTCACATGAATCCGCAAGCCATGTAAAACTTCGCACTGATTGGAATGATTGAAGAACTGATACATTGCCGGGGTGCTTTGAGTACCAAAGTACTTAAAAGAAGATAAAAAAAAAAACAACAACAACGATTTACCGCGCGCACAGATAACAAAACAGAGACATCGTAGAATGTTCTATACCCATCCACGATTTGCACGCATAACTGAACAAAGTACAAAGCCATACTGCATACCTGAAAGTTTTCTGGTTAAAGATGATTGTTTCGAATGACAAGAGGATAAAGCTCGAAACTTCACCTTTGAAAGCTGTTTATGGTGGATTAACTTTTATTATCTTGACGCCACACCTCAGTTTCTCTAGAAACTTCCCCTATTATACGAGTTTTGAGGATAAAAACGATTTGGTATTGATCTTCCGGTTCAAATGGATCCTTGGTTACAAATCGCATGTTTCCGCGTTTCTAAATCTCCAGTCTCACAATAAGCATTAGGGTCGTTAGTTTCGCTACTTATTCTCTTTATATTAATATGGATTTCAATGACCACATCACTACGCGAATTTTAATTTTTGCTCATGCATCATACCACCACACAGGTGAACACATCACAAAGCTGAACGTATTGTGGACAAATATATGTTATGAGACATTTCGGTGTGTACTATTGCTGAAAATTTTAACGAATTGCATCATATTCTGACGAGCCCTCAGGGCGATTCAAAATACAGACAAAGAGCAAAAGATACTCAGCGATACGTTGTACATACCAGTTGAAAACTTCTATATGTTATTTATTTTCCAACAGTAATATTTCATGCGTATTTCTTAAAAATTAGGAAAAGCGAAGCAGATACAGGAGGGTAACGCACACAGCAGACCAGTGCGCAGGTGTTTTTACAGTACAAAACATCGCATTGCTTGTACACAACTTAGCGCAGTTGGATAATAAGTGTATCTATTGTTGATCATACTGATCTGATGTGTCCTTGCTTACTTATCGTACGTTTCTTTACGAAAATGTGTTGAATTCAAGTCTGATAGCCATGAAGTTCGCAAGGCTTGTTTTAGATCCTCTTAGAAATATGGAATTTCACCCATTTGCAATTCTAGACAATGGCGATAAGGCTGAATGACCATTGTAAAAGAGTCCATCGAACTCTGATGACTCAGAAACCACAACAAGGCAGAACATAGCTGCGTCTCAGTCAAGTCAGTATTGTAAAAGGGTGTCAGTAACAGATGAATCAGCAGTCCGTCGGAAGGTCAGCTCGTCAAGTCAAGGTAAGGTGTTATACTTTATAAGGATATTGATGAAATAAGGGGCTCTCTATCTGGTTGAGGACCGGCTTAGATCTAAAGAGCCGAAGGAAATCTCTAGAGTTTGAACTATCCTGGCTACCTCTGTCTCTTCATTCCACTTAAAAGAGGATGGTTGTACTTCATTTTACTTTAAAGATCTTCCCAAAATGATTATCCTTGCACTTGGACGATTACCACATTATGGAATGAACTTCCTTCGCAGGAAAATCTGATCAGTGGAGACAATATTAGAGCAAACTTCAATATCTGCTCCAGGGTGTAAACTGGGCTTCAAAACGCCGACAGTTTCGTTTGAAGTCTGATACACTTAGACTTAGATCAATAATGTTCCTACACCTGACAGAAATAAAGGCTTGACAAGGTGAGAGTCTTGTTGCAATAACTTTTCCTCTTTTCCGCTTAGGCTTGAACGGGTTGTTAAAATATTAGTAGTCATTCACATGTCTGGCTGAAATACTTCACGGGATGATGATCAAAAGATGACGATGAATAACATTTTAAATTAAGCGGTATCTCACACAGCGATCTGTTATATTTTAAACTAGATGCTCAGTTCAAAACCAGAAACGCTCAATCTCACGGATTATCGGCCTACCAAGCTAACTAGCCATAACTTTTCAAAGAATTTAAAGTTCCCCAGTCGAGTAGAGCGAGACAACTTTAAAGACGAATCAGTAAGCTCTATTAATGCCGCGCAAACTGATTTCATGGACAGATTTTTAAGACTGGTAAACCAGTCTCCCGATTTTCAAACATGGTCACTCTTAAATACTCCATTTCTATTTAATTTCGCCTCAACAGTCTTAAAACGGGGAATAAATCACTTTATCAAAAAACTTGTTCTTAATTGCTAATTAATTTTCAGGAATTTGTATGCACATACGTTTATCATAAATCACAAGCTGCATAATAAAACCACTTATGACATTATACAAGACGAACCACCCAGCGAGCAGTGCCATTACCTCTCCCATCTTATACTCATTGCTGTTAGAATCAGGGTTGTCGAGTTTTACCAAGTATGTTTGCACCCACAGTGAAAGATACCGAGGAATTGTTTGAATTTTATTCGAAATTATTGTTAGAGTTCTTTCAGGTAAGTTTCATACTATCAATTTCATCTTTGAAAGATTTGATAATAGAAATAATGGATGTTTGAAATATGAAAAAAGAGTGAAATTTGAATTTATAGAATAAACTTCTCTCTAATAATAACCAAAAGCCTTAAAAAATTCGATCGTCAAACATCAAATTCGGAACAAACTAACCACGAATCGTCAAGGCCTACCTATTTAGACCTTCTTGTTATTGTGCCAGACTGAACTTTTAAGCAACCAAACACATAGGAATCAAATAATCTTTTATTTGCTGCCTCTGTTCTTTAGGTTAGTGTACTTGAAGTTCAAGGTTAATAATCTAGGTTTCGGTGGAATGAAGTTCAGTTGTTTATCTTATTGAGAGTAGCACAGAACTGGGCATAAGTTTCTATTTCGTACACCCCAAGCTATTCTAACGTTCTTATTAAGAAACACGTAATATCAGCTTAGAACTGGGTTTTACACCTGTCAGTCATCCTCGTAAGCGTCCATCACGGTGGCTGGCAACGTAGACGATTTCTGTTCATCTCGTCTCGGTTATCTAGACTTTTGGTATTTAGATATTTTCATAAATATGCAAATAACGCAGGGACTAAAACAATTTGATTTACATTCGTGTTTTGCAGTCAAGATCATGTGACAATCACATCAGAGAAAAAATGCGCAGTTTAAGCCAGAAGAAACTTTGTATTGATTATGAGGGAGATTTTTCGAGGTCCGCGAAAGAACATGAAAAATACCCGCGGCAACGCAGCAGGAAACATTTCGGTATATGATTTCAATGGGTGGTTTGCACGTTACGTCTTGCCGCCATGTTGGTGGACATAAACAATAGATATCTCATTAGCTTCTTTTGCTCGTCCACCAGCATTTGTACCTTTCAACATTGTTACTTGTGTCTCTAGAGATTAAGTCGCAGCTGTATGATTGTTAAGAAATTAAAATAACGAAAAATGGCACCAATTTATTAATATCAAAGATTATCTATGACCAACTTGTGAATAAGCTAATCTAGAAATGAAACAGGTCAGTGAAGTATTTAGGTCCAAAGATCGACAATCACTTAAGTTGGAATATCCATATTCCTCAGCTTGAAATGCTGAACAGAATCTCATCTTGCTAAAGCTATCCCATAGGTGGTTTGCACGTTACGTCATTGCCGCCATGTTGGTGGAAGTAAACAATAGATAGCTCATTAGCTTCTTTTGTTCTTGCAACAGCATTTGTTTTTTTTGCCACTGATACCTGTCTCTAGAGATTGGTTGCAAACCACCTATTATGAATATATAAACAGACCATTCTGTCGCTGGGTTGAACTGGTCCATCAGGATATATACAGATTTTATTTTGTTATTATCTATTTTATTTTTATTCTACACAGGAAGGCGCGCTATAAAACGAGCCTTCGGTCCCACTGGACCATTTGTCAATCAACCGTTGTGTGATATAGAACTCTTAGAGTCAAGTCAGCTTGAGCTACAGCTACTCCAAAGCAGTGAATAGGGGACACATTCCTCAAAATTGTTTTATGTCTAGATCACAATACAAGAATTTTTGAGATTTGTATTTCCTTTCTCCAATGGAAACTGTCTTTATTTGTGGCGGTAAATTTGAAATCGAAGTAGTGGTTCTCACATTACCCCATTGCCACTACGCTGGTGGAGGTAAACAATAGATATCTCATTAGCTCCTTTTGCTCGTCTACCAGCATTTACATTTGACCCACACGCGTCAACGGTGAGTGACAAATGAGCCTAGGTCTTCCCAGGGAAGACTTCCTTCTTGAGGGTGTCTTCGTGTTTAACTTGCAATGAGTAGTCTTGCAGCAAAACTTACGTTGTAAAGATTAAAGCGACCACTGAAGTCTGGAGAGTTTTTCGGTCTCACTTCGTGATTTTGCTCGAAAGCTTCCAAAAAAGTCACAGAGCAATCGAGAATTATTGTCAGCATCTAACTCCGAAAAACCATAGTTAATGGCAAAACAATCAAACACATACCTGAGGCGGTCTATAAAAATAGCACAAAATTATATCCTGCATTTATCAAATTTCTGTTTGCAAATATAGACATGGTTGGCTGTAGCCAATCATGTCTAAGGCAGCGAAAGCGTTTGAGAATGTTCAACCATGTCCAACGCAGCGAAAGCGTTTGAGAATGAACACTCGACCTGATTTGACTTAATTGCTTTCGCGGAAGTTTATGTTCCTTATTACATTTGGCTCATGACTACCTGTAACCACATGCACTTTTTGGCGCTTTTGTTGTCACATAGGGACAAAACTTGTTTGTCTCCGTTATTTGTCCAAGTAAGTTCGCTCCCTTTTCGAAAATTTAGTGAAATGTAGTGCCTTTTGTTGTTTGGTTGTCGCCGTTCTTTCCGCTCTAAGTTTCGATGATCAACTGGGTTCAAAGATCAAATTTAAGACCGCACGCTGTCTGTGTTATTAGAACAAGTTTTCAACTCAGTGTCGAGGGTAATCCAGAATTTCTTTTGTTTTATATTACTTCGTTCTGTGATTGTTTTAGAAAATTCATGCCACCTCAAAATTATCAAAAATCAGGGTGGCTCTGAAATGTAAGAAAAGAGTTTTTTGAGAGTTTGTAGAAAGATGAATCTTGATATGCTGAGCGGCAATTCAATAAAATGATATGTATAACAAATGGGGATTACTGGACTTTTTCGTGAGTTATAGGCACGTACAGCTAAAGTTGAGGGTGTCTTTAGGAATTTTTATGGTAAAGATAATAAGAAATAATGATAATAAAAAAAGAGATAATCATGATCAGCTCACAAATAGCTGAGTATTATTTCAAAACTATATTCAACGAAGCAAACGATCCACCAAACAATTGGTGTTTAAAAAATAACGAACCAAAATGAGCCACCACAAGAAATGTGATCAGAAGAACTTAAATGTTCCTCCTGCCTACAATGAGCCTTCTCTAGTAATTACAAACAGTCTTTTTAAAACTTAAAAATCTACAGAAAGTATAAAATAAAAAAATCTGTTCAATGGAATGTTGAAGACATATTAGCAATGAACCGAACGTTACGTCTACTTTGGTCAGAGAGGAATATGATTGCGGACGTCCATTGATTGTCTATTGGAAACAAAACTAAGACGGATTTTAGTAGTGGCAGATTGAAATGGTGAGAACTGGTAGGTGGTCACTTTCTTTTCGTTGCGCCTTTTGCATCGCCCACATGTTTATATAAGCACCCCCATATGTGGATACGTTAATGAGCTTACTAAAGCTAAGGCAATATCTACCTGTGGGGAACCGTGAACAAGCGGCCGTAAGCTTTAAATATTTGAATACCTCTCATGCAATGTTTGCCAGCTGAGTAAACGGACCGCAAACAATCAAAGACATTTTTATCCTTTTATACATAAATTATGTTCGAAATAGGAAAGATTCGTAATCCATGCGTCTTCGTGTTTTAAACTTTTCGTCTGACCCTAGGCTCGTTACACTTCTTTGTTCTCCACCGTGGTTATCATAACTGGTCGTGTGTTGTCATCTCTTATATTATGAGGTTATTAGCGTTGTTGAAAAAACGTTTCTTTAGTTTAGGGAGATAAGACAAAAGGTTGGTAAACACCCTTAAAATATGAGTGCAAATTGTGCTCGCCAACTCTTTTTTTACTCTTACCTCGTGACACGTTGGTCCGCTCCTTTTCTCTATCGCTTTCTTACTCTTGAGTTTGTAGAGATGGAGGCAAACTTTCCAGATATGATCCAACTATGGTAACCCTGACGACAAGAACTTCTATGAAATATGGTACCTCAGAGAAATATTGAAGGCATAAACCCAGCGGCCGACTGATTGTTGTGAAATGAAATAACAAAAGTGGATGTAAATATATGGCTGAGCACAGAAAGATCACCAAAATAATCATCTTTAATTAATAACCAAAACTTAAGACATATCGTTGGTGTCATGACAACGATGTCATGTTTCAAGTGAATGAGTCTTTGCTATATTAGAATGTCAGATCAAAACTAAATAAGCTCATACATTAAATGGCAAAATGTCCGCGGACGAGACTCTGCCACTTCTTCTTTGAAATCATCCGGTGAGTTTTGGCTCTTTCTGAGTGTTTCATTTTGGTATGTATTATAATGTTAGGTTATTTCCTAACTATATATCCTAACTATAGGTGGCAATTTCAGTTTGATACATTTGTCTCTACTGGGCGTGTAATTTGTCACCTCAAAAAGGTATAACTAAGCTGTTAATGTTAGACTAAAGAAGCGCCAAGAGATAGAGATCTTCCTATCTCTTTGTAATCCTTAACAATGCACCCAGACTTTTACAGCTGAGATTTATGGTCTGTCGCATAACATTCAGTTTTGCGGAGACGCGAAAAAATATATGGGCAATTCTAAATGTTTTGAGTTTCGCATTCTGTTTTATAAGTGCTTAGAAAAACACATGATGTATACTAAAATTAGCAGACTATGCTCGTTAAACTGAACCCAACCTGTATTACTTAAGCGGTTGATCATTTCGTCCTGCATGAAATAGAAGATGTATACACACAATTTGGTCGACACCGTTGATACAGGAGAATACATGGTGACTCTGGTAGAAATAATGAAAAAAGTGAGGGAGGACGGGTCTTTTTACTCATCAGAAACCCACAAGGAATAATCAACTTCAATTCTAGAAGACGTAGATATTTACTTTGCGTCTCTGACTTACCAATTCGCGAGAAACTCATTGGTCAATAAATTTAAGTGTATTATTTTACCTTTAAAATTACCGGCTGACACAAGTAAAGCTTCAAAAAGTTGATGCTCCCCTGGAGGCAGCGTTTGTAACCAGAGCTGGTTGCTCAGGACAGCGTGTAAAGACATATCAAATCTACTGAACTAACATCCTTTTGCCACTGCGAGACAGAATTCCACTAATCTGCATTCTGACTGAACATGCCATTTCATCTTTTTCCATAAATACCCGAATAAGAATAATTACTACTTTAATCTTTTTCCAATAATGGTTTAATAACGTGTTAATGAAAACATATGAAGAATTTCTCTTTTTCCCTATTAAACTGATCAGCCATATTTTTTTGATACACTAGATACCATAAACATGTTTCAAAATGATGCATGAAAATCAGTGGCTGTTATATGCAAGTTTTATCATATCAACTTGCATGTCTTTGGAAAGAATAAGTGTGTGGCGGAGTATTTATGGTGGTAAATCAGACTAATGATAGTTTTTACTTTTTCCCTCACACAGGTTGGTTAGGCATCATGTTTTACAAGAGGCACGGCAGATTGGACTCTTATAGAGGACTTCATTACATGAAGAATTGATGCTGAGTTAGAAATACCTACTTATTGGACGAGACGTAGGAGACGAAGTATTTTTAACTCTTTCAGCTTCTCGGTTTGATCTTCGTGACTCGGATTAAAAAAAACTAGCCATTTGACATCCAGGTATGTACTCCTCTCTAGATAGCATCCATTGACTCTCTCTGGTCAGCCCTTTGGAAAGAAGAACTTTCAAAAAATTAATAAATAATATATTTTAGGAAGATCTCAATGAGAGTAGGGTAAAGGAGTTTGAAATACTTGTAATAAAGTCTACAGTGAAAAATGCATAAATAATAAGACACAATAATAAAGGGCAGCTTTAGAGGCCTTATCACTAAGGATTGGTTGCAAATTAACTATATCAATGTTTGAATTACAAAGTGTTTCTAAATAGTAAAAAATGGTGTCTGCTATAATGATGATTAATGAAAATGAGAGAAACTGAGCAAGAAATCAAACAGCACACGAGTTTCTTTGTTACTATAACTTTTTCGGGGATTAAACATAATTATTTGGCCCTGTAGTTTTTTATTTCTTGACGAATCTGGCTGAGATATGACAGTTTAGTATGATGTTTAACCATGTTTTTTTTTTGCGACCGTTTGACAGTTGATGCTGAACTTATCATTCAAATGTTCTGGAGAAAAAACTAAAACTGTCGCCGCCTGCTAAGAACAAAACATTTGAAACGAGCTTGAGATATATTTGAAATTTGTTTTTGAATATAAAATACAGATCTCGAGACTATGATGGAGGTGAGTTGCAGTTGATATTGTTGAGATATTAAAACTTTTTCACAGAAAACAACCAAAATATCACTCAGCTATATTTGACCAGTGTGAGGGAACCAAACTTATCAACGACCGAGAAATAAGGACATCTCACAGCCAATGAGGAATTTTAAATTTTCATCTAGATGAAATTTTGTCTAATGATGTAATTGAGTTATTGAGATTGGCTACGAAAAATTGGTCGCAAAGGAAACTGAAAACCGTTGGAAAAAAGCTTTTTCTCCATAACCATATGAATCGATATGTTTATTTCTAATGGGAAACTTTGTTAAACTGGCAGTCAGGTAAAACAAATGGCTTCCACTTTAAGGTGAGGTGCAAGAATGTTACATAATATGTATAAAGCACGGAACTGTTAGTTATTACCTGTGGGAACCTAAATGATCCTAAGTCATGTGACGGACATATTGTTTTTTGTTTTTTTTTTTAGACGCGGTCATTTTGTTAAAGCTGCAATACTGAAGTAAGTGTGGTTTCCAGAAATTTTACATTATTCCCTGTACTTTTGTTATCCCTGGCCCTTTTGGGATGAGATGTCGTTATTTTTCAAGAATTTATCGGAGTTCGTACCTGTGTAACCATGGTATGCTCCCTCATTATGAAATATGAAATATCAGAAACCGTGTTCTGATTAAATTGCCTTTTGTCATACAAAATGAAGCAGGAAAAATTTTTTAATTCTTATTTTGTTGGAACGTGATAACAGCCAAACAGCCAAGACACAATCATTTTTGATGTTGCTTTGTTTATGTTAAAAAAGAGAAATTAAAAACCAGCTGGCTGGGGTCCTTACTGAAGGAACACATTCTTGATAAATAAACAGTTTCATTAGATATCCACTTCCCTTGCGTATTGGATACATGTTAAGAAGGCCTGTTCAACGTTTTGATTGTATGAGCGACTCCAAGAAAGCATGCCATGTTTAGAGGATTTTATGCACTTAAGACAGTACTATCACCAGCTAGATTCAATCGTCAAAGTTAAACAGGTGAGATCTATATACAATAAAGAACAACTGCAGGGGGTTAAGCAGACCCTCTTCCTTCACAGCGCCACTGCCGACTCTCTGTAACCATGACCAGGAGCATTGATGTGAAATATGAGATTCTAACAAGCGTTTTCTTGTCAAATAGACTGCGTGTCACCGGTAATTTCGATGACATTTAGAGATAAAATAAAAAGAAAAATCAATTTTTAAACGAATCATTTTTCGGGAAATAGAATGGTGCTGTTAAGTGTTTAGGGTGATCTGTTTTGACAAGTGAACAATAGAAAGTTAATGGAAAACAACTTATCATTCCTTAATTAATCTCCTCACATAAGCAATGGGTGATATCACATACACTGCACCTGTCATGCGTAAGGGTCTGGCAATATTTGGGAAAAGGGTTTTCCGTCTTTGGACTCCCGAACTCTTACATTTTGAAGCTGTCGATGTCGATTGAAAACTGAGAAAGAAAAAAAAAAGGAGAGGAACTTCAATTTTCCATTTCTAAATGAACTTTACCTTAGGTTAGTTTAGAAAAAAGACTTTTTATTACATATCCTACAATACAAATATTTGTGTTGTACCTTCATTAGATAAATTATGATCATGGAAAGTTCCCTGGCTGTACTTGTTTGTATGGTAAATTTAAGAACAAATGACCTCGAGACTTTGTTGGTTATAAGGGGGGAATAATCATTCCTTGGAGGACATCATAATAAAGAAAGTAACAAAACAAGATTAAACTTTGCAGACTAACATTATAACCATGTACTTTTGTTTTGGGTTTACTCGAGACACCTTCACTTTCTAATTTCTGCTGGCTTTGGCGCGGGGAAATTAGCTAAATAAAATTCATCGAAATGTCATTTTTAATGTTGGAGCCCACGATCTTTAAGCCGCTGCTTAAAAAATACGCGTAAACACTGCGTGTTAGCATTTATTAGAACCCAGGATCTCTCTTTAGGTAGCTTCTTTGTCCCGTTTCCTGACGTAACCTCTCTGAAGACCCAGTGACACATAATCCACAATTATTCATTGGCTTATCAACGGGGAATAGGGGATCACACTCTTGGTGTTATTAGATATATACACACCCAAGCTTAATGGAGTGGAATTGGCTGTCGAAAGAAGTTTCACCGCAGTTTACAAAAGGAATACCAAATTCCTATACTAAGAATTAAAACATCATGCAAGTAAGTTGGAAAGGTTTAGTTTGGCACAGAGAATATTATACCTTGTGGTTGAGCTGTTTGATGCTAACAAACTCTTGTTACGGAAGTTAAAGAGTTAAAACTGCTAAAATATGAACAAACTAACTTAAAATGAGCGAGTTTCACTACAAAAAAAATATATCATGATTTTATGTTGTTAAATTTTCAGTAGCTTTTTGAATACTAGTTTATATTTTGTTTTTTCTACTATATGGAGTAAAGTAAATCTTTCGACTTTCATCGAATAACTCTCTAGTAATTTTTAAAATCACGCGTTCTGTTCCATAACTTCAGTCAAACAGCAAAAGATAATTCTCTTTATTTCGAATAATCAGCAATCATTTTGAAGAAAAAAGCCAAGAAATTCATGGTTGACATTACTTATAAAGAGAATGTTTTGAAAACTTTTGATAAAGTTAAGCAGGTTGCCTGGTGGCTGTTATTATATGACCCAAGAGTTGGTATTCGAATGTATGAAGGTACCACGCCATGGAAATATG